TGAATTTTTCTTGGTGAATTTGGGCTGAAAATATTTCACAAGGCACTTCTCATGCCTAGTAACACTATCCCAAGGAAATAAACAGAGGTCCTATTTATACAAGAATCTGAGACCCCATACCTTTCTTGCTCTATGCAAAGTGTACTTTTATTGTGGACTTTTCAGGTTATACCCAGTGCAAATTTATTTGCTATCATGCTATATCTCAGGCATTGTTTAAAAGACATTCTGAGTCTCCATGGATCAATTCAAAAGGATGGTAGCATTTTTTCTTCTTTCAGAAAAGAAGGACCAATGCTGTAGATACTTGTTTACTTCCAGAAAAACTCTAAAAATTAGCTTCTACAGACATCATGCAATGTTCATTTTGACATTTCTACCTACATTTTGTATTATACACACTACAAACATCAATGGGGAGTTATTTCACCTCAATCCAACAAATATATTGAGTGAAAAATACATAAAATGGAAAACAAGTTCAAATTTACCTTTCAGAGGAGGATATACAATTTCTGGTCCAGAAACCTTGTGAAGCTCATAACAATAGCAGGGAGACCCAGTGTTCAAAATATATCTTCCTCAAGTTGCAAATTGCTTCCAGTAGATTGCAGTCATTCAGAATTTCCCATCCCATTTTTGGCACTTGTCACAATCAATTCCCTACCTTATCCTGAGTTTTCAATTGTTCATCACCAGACTTGGTATGTACAATCTACACTATGTTAGCTATGTTTTATACACCAGAGCATAGTTCTCAAAATGTTTGGTTCTTGTGTTATAGTGCCAACTTTGTAAAAAAAAACCATGTGACATTCTTTATTGTGAGTTAGTGTATCTGCATACCCTACCAACATCTGTATTACCCTCCTCTGCCAGTCAAACCTCTGCATGTAATATCAAGCATCTCTCTGAACCCATTTTAACAGATGATAGTTCACTAAGTTCATTGTTGTTTCTCCCCTTCTCTTCCTCTCTCCCTCTCCTCCTGTTCTCCTCTCCCTCCCTTTCTCTCTTTTTCTCTTGATTCTTGATTGTAAATTTATGGACAACCAATTCCATTCTTCTCTAACAACTTCTGTTCACCATGTCATAAGATGGAGTCACACATATCTTTCCACTAAATTCTGAACCAAGATTTATTTCTCAACCATATCATGAATTCAGATACATAATTTTTGAACTATACTAACTCTGTCCCTTACATCAGACCACTGGAGTCATCCAGTCACCTTGAATAACTCACTCAAATTTCACCAGACATCTTCAAACTGTATATACACTTTAACAACCATACACTGAGCTCATCCCACGTAATTTTCTGCTAAGAAAATGGTATCATACTGCATGATTAAAACAGGTCTTGTCACAGCTTGCTGTTGTTGCCATGTCAGAGATCAGTGCATCACATCAATGCATCAATCACCTCTGTCACGGGTTCAAGCACAGTTTTGTAATCCACAACCAGTAGTGAGACTTTTGATCAGAACTTGAATTCATGCCTGTGATGTTTTGTGACTGACCAAACGACTCCACCTGTCTGATGTAAGGGACAAGGTTGGTATTATGAATATTTTAATTAGATGCTGAAGCAAGATATATTTATTAACGATATCCTGAATCAACATACATCATCTTACAAGTATATCTTGAATCTTCCCACTACATTCTCAACCCAGATTTATTTTTAAACTATATCCTGAACAAGGATATATCTTTCAACTATATCTTCAGCAAAATTATATTCACAAGACATATATTTTAATTATATCCTGACCCAGGATATATCTTTCAACAAGATATTGAGCTAGGATATATTACCAATATATATTCTTAAGCTATATCTTGAGCAAGGATATATCTTTCAACTTTATCTTGAATCAGGATATATCACCAAGATATATTCTTCAGCTGTATCTTGAACAAGGATATATCTTTCACATCCTTAGACTATATCCTGAACCAGGGTATATTACTAGGATATATTACCAGGACATCTTTTATATCCTGATCTTGGTAGATGTAGATTTATCTGTAGAGTCAGAAGGGAAAGGTGCATTTTATTCAACACAACTACATAGATTTACATTACTACATTAAATATTAAATCAAGGGAAGAAGGAGTGAGGGAGATGCAGTGAGGAAGGGTGAGGGTGGGCAA